TTAAGAATATATTTTTTATTAAATAAATAAATTTAATTTTCTTTTCCAGGTGGAAAAACAAAGTTATAAAGGGTTGTATTGGATTGGTATTCTATTGGAAGTATCATTAAGTGAACGAGAAGAAGGATCGCTGCGCAAAAAATGCAGATTTTTAATCTTCGTAATGTAAAGGTGATTTATTATAGTAGGAGATTGGAAAGCGCCTACTGGCGAAAGCAAATTGTATGATTCATTGCAATTTCAACTCGATTGGGCATCGAATGTTTCTACATTAAAGTAATTTATTTAGATGAAGAGAAACCTGTGCCAGGTCATGTTTTGTTGGCAGAAAAAAAATCAAATACGCTCTCAACAGTTTTTGGCTTCCAGAGGAAAATAATTGCAAAATTGCTAAATTTCCACAATTAAAATTAAAGTTTTCAATGTAATCAAAGGTTTGAATGTTGGTTTATGTTGATTTAAATTGCCGAGTTTTGAAATTTTGAATTGAAATTAAAACTATGAAATTACCAACATATTCTCTGAAAATAGAAAATAGAAATATTTTAATGTAATTTTGTTTCAGATTTCAATCGAAAATTTTGATAAACGCTAAAAGCTATTAACCTGACCAAATATTTTTCAAAACACAAAGCAATTTTTATATAAAAAGTAGCTTTTGCCGGCGACTTTGTCCAGGTAGTGTTTAATAAAAATGTAATTCGTTTTTATTCTCTTGCTCTAGACATTGTATGTGTCAATTCTATATCAATCTATCTCTATCAATAAGATTTGCAATTTTATTTTAAAGAAATTAATTATATAAAGAATTTCTAATACTGCACTTCAGCGTGCCATCTCGGATTCAACTATTAAACTATAACTATGATTGAATCTCAATGCTAACTTTTATCCTATAGAAAAGGCCTGTCTTTAGGGTTTTCCCGGCAATTATTCGAATTTTTCTCGCCGTAAAAACTATCCTTGGACTTAAACAAGCATTAAAAAAAAAGAATTGGCCAAATTCGTCAAGGCGTTGTTGAGTTTTGCGCATACCAACAGATTTTGCGATTTGTTTTTATATTATAAAGATTGAATTATCGCCAAAATTATAAGATTATTCAGAAATATTGAACTAAATTCTTCAAATTGCATTATAACAACAAAACTACTTTGGTATTCTTCAAATTCCGAAATAAAATTCTTTAAAACTCTATAAGTAGCATAAATATCAAAAATATTACCCATTCCAACTTGAGAATATTCAATCAAAGTCTTTGATTAATTAAACTGTGTGACACTGCGCGCTCCACACACTATAAGCATAGTCTGCTAAATATTTACGTAAAGGATCCCTGGCATCAGCATTGACGCCATCGGAGACATCCTGATTGATTTTGTATTATTTGAGCTCGGGAGCACTGCGCGCTCTTTGAACTTTCACCCTGGAGCGCAGGAACTCAATCGGGGCCGGTGCATTGTTCTCGTGTCAACTGGATCCTATAGGATCTCAAACGCTTTGCTTGTTAATGGTCTAGTCTGTCTGTGTAAAAGAGTACACCTATTCACTTGTTTTGACTTTTTCGCCTCCCTCTCAAAACACAATAAACAAAAAATAAAATAAAATAATCTGCTTTAAGACATTGATACATCCACTTTTATTATGTAAGTACTCTTACATAAATATATCATGCATTTAATCTGCCTCCTAATATGACATAAGTGAGTGTTGGTAAAGGAAATCGGCAAATTGTCTTGATGCATATTGCTGCGCGTGCGGATGCGAAGGAGTCAGTTGGCTGACGGTACAAGAGTCTCGTACATCAATTGGGACGACATATAACATTACCAATTTCGCAGTCGCAACCAGCGTGCTCCGGAGTGGAAATTAAATTACGCCGGAGTGAAATTTCAGATGCATCATTCGAGGTGGAAAGTTTGAGGTTTTGGCGGTTTGGGGCGCGAGCAAAATGACATTTAACCTTTCCGCCGAACTCGCAACGCGATGACAACAAAATACAGAAATAAATATGTTTGCGAAATCGAATTTCATCCATATATAATTAAATATATTCGATGAGCACAAGTTGCTTATAATTAAATTGAATGATTCCCTATCTAGTGATTTGATTGCTTCCGAGGCAGAACTTATATGTTCTGTTCGTAATTAGTGCCGGTGCATTGCATGTACATTTGATGTTGTGATGCTGGCATCGTCGACCACAAGAGATCGATAGTTTCAAGTGTCGTTAAATTTGACTCGCAAATGACTTCTCTAACAAACAGCCGACGCACTACTCGCCATCGAGCGATGCTAATCAAACTGCAAAGATGGGCTCAAGACGAATGTCCCGAATGTCAACTATCACGAACAATAACGACGCTGGTGACATCGACATCGACACTGACATTGAGAAAATGCAGTCGAGTATAAACGCACTACTCGGAGCTATTACTTATTATAATTGGATTGAAGTAAACTTTTCAATTTTAATAAAAACTAACTTTTGCCAGCGACTTCGTCCGGTTAGTGTCTCATAAAAATGTAGTACGTTTTTACTCTCTTGTTCTAGACATAGTATGTGTCAATTCTGTCAATAAGATTCGCAATTTTATTTTAAAGAAAATAATTATTTAAAGAATTGCTAATAATGCACTTCAGCGCGCCATCTCGGATTCAACAATTTAACTATAACTATGATTGAATCTCAATGCCAACTTTTATCCTATAGAAAAAGGCTGCCTTTAGGGTTTTTCCGGCAATTATTCGAATTTTTCTCGCCGTAAAAACAATCCTTGGACTTTTACAAACATTTTAAAGAGAAAATTGGGCAAATTGGTCTAAGCGTTGTCGAGTTATGTGCTTTCCAACAAATTTTGCGATTCATTTTTATATCAAAAATAGATCACATCACACTCAAAAGCAAAACCACAGACAAACAGACAGAAAGTTGAAATGACGAAATTGCGGAAGTGCGAAGACTGCGATTAAGTGCAAAGTTAGATGAGTGGAGTGCAAATAGAAACAGTTATCTGTTATCAGAATGAGAAGACGTAAAGACGTGCCGGAGACGCGTTCGTTAATTTTAATCTGGCGAGGATTTCCCGCGGGGCAAAGTTGCTAATAGTGTCAATGGTGCACGGCGTGCGCCACGTGTCGGGGCGTAAATATTTTAACCCAACAACAGCTTCTCAACGCCAGACACTCGGCGACTTTAGTTTGCACTTCTCGCAATTCGTAATTTGTCGAGTGTGTCGGGTTGCAGTTTATGCGGGATCCTGGCCCCGGGGGAATAAATCGCGCCGAAATCACACCTGGGACCCGGGCGCAACCCACTCAACTTCAGGTGTAGCGTTGATAGTTTAATGATACCAACCACAACATAAAACTACTCGGTGTATATTTGGTTGCATACATTAAATCTGATATTACCAACTCGTCTGGTATTATGATTAACTAAGATTAAGTATTTATTTAGTTAATAAAAATAAATCATCAGATTTCATAATGTCGCCGTTAATATAATCATGGTCCATTAGGACGCTCGCCAAAGTTGTCTCATTACAGCGCAGACACATTACGCGCATAATAAATACAAGAAAATGAATGTTTTTGTGTGGTTAATAATTGAACGCTGCTATTATTAACGCCATTAACGATTAACCCGATAAATTGTTACCTGCATGTAACGAAGATGCTTTTATAAATTCGGCCATTAGTCGGATGCCGCCGGATGCTCTTCTCTCACCTATGTCACGCCGTCCAGATGTAATAGAATTGCTTTTGGTCGCGATGGCAACTCGGGGTGTGAATGTGGGTGGCATAGGGCGCGCAAAGAGCAAAAGCGGCTTGAGCGCTTGAATGTGGGGCGGTGAGTGCGCGAACGATTGCCGTGCGCTGGTGGTGTCGGAGACGGCTCGCCTCGAGGGACGTCCGAACTTTCAGCGAAATGACGTCACAGGGTGTGCGCCGCCGCACAGGCGAGTGGAAAGTGCGATAGAGGAGTGACGTCAGTGAATAAATTCTATTCCAGCATGCGAATTCGGAGATACGGCGCAAAAAAGTGAAAAAAAAAAAGAAGTGGAAATGTTTTTCTAACCTCACGTTAAAAATATTTGTTTAGTGAATTGTTATTTCATAGACTATTATTTAAATAATTATTATTCTGCCAAACCAAACTTAAGCAAAAATCAGGCTAAAACTTGTTTTGATCACAAAAATACAACAAAAGCGATTTACTATAGGCAACCAACACTACTAACCAACAAAAACTGCTACGCCACTTGTAAAAAAAACAATTTTTATACAAATACAAGCAAAAAACATCAATTTTATCATAAAAAGTTAATATTTTAACCAAAAATAACTGAACAGTCAATATGTTACCGTATTACCGTAAAATTCAAACAAAAACTAGTTTTAAGCAAACCATATTAACATAAATAAAATATTTAGTTATTAGTTAGGCAACCAAGCATACATATTTTTAAATTATGTATGTATTCCATTAGCTTATAAGATAGAAAATTCGCAAACAATTATCTAGTAAAAACAATACCGCAACAAGTAGAAGTTTAGCCATCGCCAGCGGAAACCTGCACCCCGCTCACCACATCCATGTCGGCATATTAATTTTCAGGATTACAAACTCTCACGTTTATAAATTCCGCCGATGTGCTTTTTTTTTCACTTTATACTCAAGTTTATAATTAAAAATGTAAATTTAAACTTTTTACCAAATTTAAGCTTAAGTTTAAATCTCCACAAACTCATTCAACCCTTAATAAATACAATAAAATACAATACAACAGAATACATTTTGTTTCTTATCTTTTATACCTCTACTGTTGTCCGTTTTGTATTTTTATTATTTTTATGCCACAGATGAGGGGAACGGATTGTGAAGCGGCGGCGCGCACGAGTTTTCGCACGCGCCCGCCACCCGAACACATCCGTGAGACATGGGCCAGCGTCAACGGCGGCGGTGGCGGCATTGTAACGCGTATTCAGTCGGCGCACGTACACGACGGCGGTCGCCCGCCGACCGAATCAGACGCGTTTCGGCATTCGCACGTTTACAAACAAATCGCTGCGCGACCAACCCCAAAACACATCTTATCATCAAAAATAATATTAATATTATTTCGAAAAGCTGACATTTACTAAAAATTACTAATTAATTATTGAAAGTGGCGTGATTTATTTTTTTAAACTAAAAGTTTGAGTGAGTGACACTCACTGAAGAAGAACCTGAAGGACGACTTCGAGTTGAGTTTGTTTGCAAAACTAACTTTCGAGTGTTCGGATTGAGAGCAAAGTGATTGTGGCGACGAGATCGAGAAGTACTTTAATTGAAATTATACAACGTGTGCAAACTGGATGATACATGGACCGTTGCGGTATATGGCCACTTAAAAATCGCTTAAAATGTAATTAAGTTAATGTAAGTAGGAAAAAATCCGCACATGCATTATTCATGTTTTTGAGCGTATTCCCCAAAAAATGTTTCGTATTTATTCGTATAAATAAATTTTATTCCATTCGTATTTTTAAATTGGTTCAAAAAATACATACGTCATCGCCTAAATGAACCATCGCGCCCCTTTTTATCGCCGGTTTTACGCGCGCATCAACATAAAGCAACAAATGTTCCGTCTTTATGTTCACTCGTCCAATGTCCAACGAGGGGCGAAGGCACTTTACACTAAAGTCGCAATACAATCTATCTCAAAACATAAATTCATGAAATTCACATACTTTGGAATTTTTCTTTTTCTTCTTCTTCTTTTGGTACTTTATAGTATAAATTTGAAAAATGTTGAAGAAGTTCGTCCGCAAACCACGAGTTTCTGCCACAAATCCGCTTTTGACATTTCAACTTCCGCAAAAGGGTGTAAAGTTTGCCCACTGGCCGAGAATTGCTCCCGAAAGTTTTCGAGTATGACCGAGGGCTTTAGGCCTCTGGATGTGTTCTTGACGTGCAAGGACATCTTGAAGTTATTATTATTTCTTAGAGGGGTTTGGTTTATGATAGATGAATTAGTAACATGCGGTCAAGGTGGTCAAAGTTTTCTCATACGCAAGCAACTGAACAACATTTTTTTCTAAGTATAAATAATAAATAATTAAATGTAGATTATATGTAGTTCTTACTGTAGCTAATACAACCCCTTTCATTTTAATCGTCCTAGCGTTTCAAAACATCATTTACGAGCATCAATCAACTTGCGTATTCTGGGCAGTCTGCCATAACCTATTTCAAGCGCTAGGGAGCACAATAAATCGCCGAAATACGTTATCTCGTATATGATTCTCTTATCCACATATGCATTATCATATCAACTCTTAGCCAGCAAATATTCGCAGACATTTGTGTTTTTTATTTTTATTATGTTTTTTTTATTTCTTCAGTCTGATGCTTTGTATTATTTTTATTTCACTCCAATTATGCGCCGAGCATTAACTTTTCCCCAAGGTTTCTATTACGCGGGCGGCAGCGGCGGATTCTTCGTTAATATCACCTGATCTCAAAGCTTTGTGGTATCGGCGCATGCCGGCGGCGGCTTTATTCTCCGGGCCGAAACTTACCGCATTGATCATTCGCGGCAAAGCTGGGCGCCGCGGCCGGAAAGTTGTAATAAATATTTATACAGCCGAGGGAAGCCAGTGTGCACCACTACACTATTTCATGTTACACTTGACACCGAGTGACAAGTTGTATAGTTTTCCGGATCGGATGTGTCGCCTCGTATTGATATGAGTGTAAAAATATAAATGGAAATGTTAAAACCGTAATCAGAATCAGGATCTATTTTTGTCAATGTATGCAAGTAAATGAGCTTATAAATAAATATAAATATTGTATGTTGTTATATGTGAAAGGTTAAAATAGCATTATCCTCGCGATGTAATTATCTTGTAGTGAAATTGGAAATAATATCATTAAATTTAAATGTAATTACTTTATCAAAGGTTAATCTCTAATAATCAGTTGATAGCTGTAGCTAAAATGGTTGATAAGGACAGTTGTGTGTGTTTGTTTACACTAAAGTGTCAAACATTTGGAGAATACAAAAATTTTAAAACTAAAATTTGAACTCAAGAGTGCACTTGCTTTATAAAAGGTCAAGTTAGTTACAACTTTTATAACTCAAGAACGGCAGGACGGATTTTGATGATTCATGATTTTTTAGATTCATCTCCACCCCGAATAGCAGAATAAGTATTAAAATGTCAAAAATTATTACTTAAAAGTTGTTAAATAAAGTATAAAAATCCGTATAGAGATTCAATCATCTTTATAGTTAAATAATTGAATTCTAGATGGCGCTAGATGCATTATTAGAATTTCTTATTTGTTTTTGTAAAAAATTACGAATTTTATTGAAAAAGCAAGGAAGAAGCAAGAAATAAATATTTGTTGCCGCAAAAATTACATTGACGTGTAAAAAGCTCTAAAAGACAATTTGATAATAATGCGACCCTTTCTGCACTCTTCCGGAAGTACAAAATTTTAAATTAATGTATACACGTGCACGTCTTGTCGGTTTTCCTTTGCTGCCTGTACAATAAAATGCTGTTTTACTTGTCATTTTACAAAACAATTACTAACGCAAAGGTTAAAAGTTTATTCCTGCATTTCACATGATCTCTGACCTTAAAACCGAAATCAAACATCAAACAGGTTTCCCCCTCACAAGATTAAAACTAAATTAAAATTTCAAATTACAGTAACGATACGCTTTTCATAATTCAATAAAATTAATATATACCTAGTGCGAGGCATAAATCATCGAGATTAAAATTAAATATTATATAAGACCGCTTCATGATTAAAATTCATACATTTCTGATTTAATTATCATCCAAGGTGATATTAACCTAAGCTGACCTCATGCTTGAGCCCACAGTAGATTTCGTTACCAGTCGGCTTTCATAAAACAGTGTGTGGGCACTAAAGGCAATAAAGCCGATGTTATAAATGTGGATATTAAATATTGTTTAAGCCCGTGCGCATGCACGAGCGGCGCAGTCGCCGAAGAGCACAAATTCAATTTTAAACTTACTCATATTTCGCTGCATCGTTGAGCGTCTACTCGCTCGGGAGATTATTAAAATGTACGCAAACGACTCAAAGAACAAACGAGCATACTCGTGCATTTTTAAACAAGTTGACATTTATCAAAACTGAAAACTAGCACTCTGTTTGGTTCAAATTTCGTACTTGTAGGAGAAAATAAAAAATTCTAGCTACAGAAATAGAAAATTGATATAAGTAATTGAGTTTTTACCCCCTTGTTTTAGACATAGTATGTGTCAGTTCAATCGAAAAGATTCGCAATTTTATTTTAAACAAATTATATAAAGAATTGCTAATAATGCACTTCAGCACGCCATCTCGGATTCAGCTATTTAATTATAACTATGATTGAATTTCATTGCTAACTTTTATCCAATAGAAAAGGACTGTCTTTAGGGTTTTTCTGGCAATTATTCAAACTTTTCTCGTAAAAACCATGCTTGGACATTAACGAACATTTTATAAAAAGAATTGGCCAAATTGGTCTAGGCGTTCTTGAGTTATGCGCTTACCAACAGAATTTACGATTCATTTTTATATTATAGAAGATAGATGTAATTATTATCATAATCAAAGTTTAATTATATAAATATTTATGTTTTTAGTTTATTATATTAATAAACAATGAGCCAAAATTACTAATGAAAATAAAACAATTGACGTGTTATTAAAATATGCCGCATATGAATACGTGCATCAGTGATCAATTTAATAATAAATGTAAAATGTAAAACCTGTAATTTTAGTTACGTATCAGTAATTAAATGCATTGCCCGGCGCGTCCACTATACAACAAGTAATACAATCTAATGAATTCGTAAATTTAAACTCATTATTTAATCATGAAATATAAAACATCGTTGAACAATACTTGAAAATTACAAATGACAAATTTAAAAATAATTTATCAGTAAAACCATTAAACTGTGTTTTAATTTTTGAAAAACACGTTATTTTTGCAAATTAAATGAAATAAAATTTGCAGAAAAATAAAGCAAACAAATTGAAATCTTTAATGAATAATTCTAAAATATTTATCAACACTTTCTGGTTTTGTTATCAACCATTTAATAATCCAAAAATATAACTATTAACTTAAAAATTAGTTATTTTTAGCTTTGTTTTATTTCAATTTGGAAAATAATAGAAAAAAAAATCAAAATAATTAAAATTTTCATTTACTAATCTTAAAATTATTTTAAAAACAAAAATTATTCAAAAAATATAAACCATAACTTTCTAATTTTGTTACTACTCATGCAATTTACCAAAATGAACACTAAAAACTAACTATTTGCTGAAGTATTCATTCACAAAACCCCTTTGAACGCTGTCCTTGATCAAATTAATCCAATTAACGCCAACGTATCGCGCAATTATGCGCACGTCAAACAAAATTCCGAATGTTTACGTATCTAATCACGCGTGATGCGCTCCTCACCGCCGTAAGCGTGCAACTATTGCCGGAAACTATTGCCGCCGGCGCTTCCGACTTGCAATCGCGCGCCCAAATATGCACCACCAAAACCATATGTTTCGAATTAATATTTAACTCCGATTTTGAATGGCAATCGCGTGCGCATTGCAATCAGGCACAATTCATTGCCACGTTATCGGAATATGTATAAATTAATACCGCATTTGAATGTTATGTACCCATCACATTCAAATTCCGCAAAACCCAAATGCACGCGAGGCGCTGAATAATCCGAATAATCCAGCCGGGTGGATGAATGTTGTGCTTATATTTAGGCCGGCGGATTTATCTGACAATATTAAATAAAATCAGATAAAATCATGAAAATCGCGCTTTTAAAATGCATATTTTATGTAAACAGATGACAGCCTGGTATAAATTGCAATGTCATCATTTTGATGGGTTTAATCTGTAGCCAAATTCAAAAGTCACATTAATATTAAGCCAAAGTACAATTAAGTTTATGCTTTCAGCTTATACATGTACAAATATTGCATAGTTGAAATATACGAGCGCAATTTCCGCACAACAACTCTAAATGTTGTTTCATTGTATTAGGAATGAGAGTAAGGAGTAAGTCTAGTCACATGGATGTAATAACATTCAAAGTTTACGATTCAAGTGGATGGTTTACAATGTTTCCTTAAACAAGTACAAAACAAATCAAAAACAATATCAACATAATTTAATTCTGATTAATTTTGTATGTTTGACTTCTTTTCACGGGTAAACCACTAAATGAATTTTTATAAATTTTGAATATCATAGACAACTTTTTGTTGCATAAAAAAGTTTTAAAAGGGTGAAAAATAAGGAATAAAGATAAAATTATAGTTATAGTTAACTAATATGGCTACAGATGGCGCACGAATGCCTATAATTGTTAATATTTTTTCATATTTTCATTTTTTTCATTTCCAAATTTTTTCCAGGCAAAATATGAAACCTATCACTAGTAAATAATACTATTACCATCAATATCCCATTTTTTGCAACCCTTGTGGCTAAATTTTTACCACTTGAAAGATCAAAGCACCCCAAAAAACAGATTTATCCCATCCGCACCCAAATCCGCCGCGATCAGGCGACGTGAATTCGATGATGATCATTCTCGTGAACGCTATTGCTTCCACTCGATCCGTTCGCCCGCGAGCAGTGTTTTAATTTGAATTGTTTTCGTTTAATTTAAGTTGTGCGCGCGCGCTGAATGCAATTTAATCTAAATTGCGCTTCGACCAGAAATTAAAACGATTTGTTTGTGCCCGCCGGGCATTCACTCGCGCTTCGGATGGAGTCAGTCGATTCAAATCGATGCGCTTTTTTGCCTCTCGGCGTGCGTTTGAGGTGTATTGAACAAATTTAGAGATTTCAAAGTTACAGAATAGAGATGGATAAACAAAACGAAGCCGGGGAAAAAAAAGCACCGACCAACTCGATTAAAACGATTGCGCGTTGAATAGCAAGCGGATTCTTCGTTTGTTTGATATGAAGTGGTTGGGCGAAAAACCACAAAGAAGCGAAAAGACTGGCAATAACCAAAGTTTTAAACGGCTGTTTTGTCGTGATTTTTAGGTTAAGTGTCTGTTTGAATAACAAAACACAAGAGTGTAAACATTTATGAATATTAGTTTTTTTCGCTGGGTTTTTCGTGTTTCCAACACATAAAAAGTTTGCTTGTAGCTAAATCGGCAAAATTGGTTTACTGTGCTAGACATTTGTATAATTACGTTCTGCAAGAACAACAACAACAATATTTTTTTATTGTTATCGAATTCAACCTAACCTTATATAAGGAAAATTTATACTATAGGCAATTAAATAAACACAACTTTTCTAAAAAACCTAACCTAAATTTACATAAGAAAAATTTATACTATAGGCAACCAATTGAACACAATTTTTCTAAAAAGCTAACCTAACCAAACCTAAGGCAAATTTATATTATAGGCAACCAATTGAACACAACTTTTCTAAAAAGGTTTAAAATTAAAGTTTAAAGCATTTCACTGATTTTTTCTATAATAAATGATCCGCATCAACGTAATAAATGATTCAATTTCTCATTTTTATTCATCGCCACCCTCAAAAACGTCACTTTCCTTTTTGCCGCGACGCGTTTAATTCCGTTCGAAAATTTATCACGCGCACACTTTACACCTCGCTTAAAAAAACTGCGCTTTAATTTCCACCTCGTTTCGAGCGCACAATCGGCTGTATTTCTTAGCGTAATGATGATGTTGTGTTGCAGGTCGGTGGCACGCTTGGGTGGCGGAGGACGAGTAATGGCGTAATTAAAATGGACTACATCAAGCTGCATCATCTGTGGCGGCCGCTGGCAGCGATCACCACCGACAAGATGGGCGGCTACGACCAACCGCATCGATCGTTAATCGTCGGATCCAGCCACCACCGCAACGATCTCGACCTGCACAATAACGATGCCAATGAGGTGCGTTTCGCCAGCACGCTGACGACGCGCACCACCGATGCGACAACTTCCGGTGCGGCGTCGAGTTTTCTCGCCAGCACGACCACAGCGGCGAGTGGGATGCTAGGTGAGCTGGACGATGAGCTATGGCAGAAGATTCTCTACTCGATGGAGAGCAACAACATGTTGCTCGACCACAACGAATCGCAGCAATTTGCGCGCGCGGAGAGCGCCAGTGAGCTATCGTATTTCGGTTACTATGACAGCCTGAATAACAGCCGCAATGGGTCGGGCAACGGGTCGCTCTTCACCGAAGAGTTCCCCTGGGAGATGGTGCCGATGATTGGAACTGCGGTCGTGTTGGGATTATTAATTTTGGCGACGGTTATTGGTGAGTAAAAAATTCCGAAAATATTAAATTCGTCAAAAGACGTGAATTGTGAAAAACAGTTGAGATAAATTGCATTAGACTTAGACGACGGACTGAGAATGTCTGAAAATGTTTCGACAAAGGTTTGCGTGTGCATCGGCGCGGAAAAGGTGCAACAAGATGAAAATTTCCGAACAGATTGGCGTGTTCGGCTTAATTTGCCCTAATGCGCTTCGAACCGGTCGAGCAATCGAAAAATGCTGATTGGGATAACAGTTGGCTAAGCACATTCTCAAGGGGATGCCCAATCGTTTCCACCGATCAGGTCTTATTAATCCTATTGACATTTTCAGCAATTTTATCTTTTTTTTCTTCCTCTTATAAAAAAAAATAACAATTTCAATTTAAAATCAACAAACGTAAATTATTCCACTTTATATTCAAAAATAGGGGAATATGTTTGAATACAGAAAAAAAAATCCACGCCTCGGGCAATTTGAGCGCAAGCTGTTTAAAACTTTACACGTTCACCCCATTTCACTTTCATTTAAAATGTATATTTACTTTTGAAAGTAAGTACTAAAGTATAAGCCAGTTCCAAGCACACACCACAGGTGCGTGTACTCTACTCTTTTTTTTTTCTGCAGCCCTTGTCGAGGTACAGCGTACTACAGGTTTGCGTTCGCACAAAGCTGGTAAACCAAGCACACACAAAAAATTACGCTAAGCATAAAATGAGAATTCAGCGCCCTAAACATGAAATATGGCGAATTAAAAAATAATTATGATAAATTGTTTGAGTTTCGGCGGGGCATGTGATGATGTTTGGGTTTTGGGTACTGGGTTTGGAATGGTTAGAGATGCGAATAGTCAGCGTGCCAGTGAAGTAGTTAAAATTTAACAGATTTAATTTATGCCATCGTGGCGTAGACGTATTTATTTATGGTGTCAGCGTTAGCGTTGAAAGAGGTTGAAAGATCAATGACACTGGAAGCTATTACTCATTCAGATTGAATTTTTTTGTATAATTGGTTGCTTATTTCTGTCATATTTATTTTTATATAAAATTCATCTAGTTGTATGTATGTTACTGAACTTTTTTTAAAAGACTGCACCAATTTTGTGGAAAATTTTTGGGAGTGTTTATGTGACTTTGAAAATTGTTCAGAATCGCAATTTTATTGGATAAAATATATTTTAGCATAAAAATTACACAAAAATATCATTTTCTATAGATTTGGTTATGTTTGACAGCTGATTCATAGCCAAACAATTATTTTGATTTTTTTGAATAAAATAAGCGACTTCGTCCCTGTAGTGTTTAATAAAAATGTAATTCGTTTATACTCTCTTGTTCAAGACATAGTACCTATGTGTCAATTCTGTCACTAAGATTTGCAATTTTATTTTAAAGAAATTAATTATATAAAGAAAAGCTAATAATGCACTTCAGCGCGCCATCTCGAATTCAACTATTTAACTATACCTAGGATTGAATCTCAATGCCACTTTTATCTTATAAAAGGGCTATCTTTAAGGTTTTCCCGGAAAATATTTGATTTTTCTCGCCGTAAAAACCTTCCTTGGACTTTAACGAACATTTTACACAAGAATTGGCCAAATTGTTCTAGGCGTTGTTGAGTTATGAACTTACCAACAAATTTTGCAATTCATTTTTATATCATAGATTAATTTGAAACAACATTTATTGGTGTTTTCTGAAGAGCTACTTTGGAATAAACGATAAAAACGCAGGACACACAAGACTACAATTCTATTCGTTGCCATGCCAACTTCTAGTGTCGACTAAATGCGAGAATAGGACGTAAAAAATCGATAAACTTTAAAACTCGCCCTGTTGATTCCCATATGTATTACGCGAACAGACAAGACATCCTCTAAGAAATTATTCCACGCACATATTTTAATGATCCCAACAAGATGCAGATACTTCTAATGAATAAACATGAATCCCAATCAATTTTTTTCATATAATTTCATACAATTTCCATCGTTTATATTAAAATCCACTAAGCTAACACAACTTAACCTCATTTAACACCCAGCAATAAGTTTTTGACATGTGTCACACTAAAACCGTGATAACAATCGCCACATGCGTTATGTTAGCAATCAAAGACTAATTCTAGGATGGTATGAATGACAGTTGTCTGACAAAATCGTAATTCGTTCAAAATCCCGTCCGATATTAATATGGTTGCGTTATCTTGTTTCGATGACAAGACTATATCGGTTGTCGAGATGCGAATTAGATTGTCCGCCGAGGTCCTGGCTCGGCCCGGAGGGCAGCGCGATAGGGACGACGGCGGGATAAGCGTCCGTTTTACGAGCGCGACGGGAGGACCTGGACCCTCGTCACGTTGATCTTTCTCGGCGCAGTACTCGTATGTGTGGCTGCACGTGCGCGACCCGACGAAGACGACGTGGAAATAAAGTCGGTAGATAAAGCGAACGTCGTACGCGCCGCGGCTGTTAGTTTTCGGTTAAGCGTTCGCTTGTGATATGATGAAACAATGCGTACGGGGTTTATGCGCGCATAACTTCAACGCACACACATGTTACATGTGGGTATACACGTGAGATGTGCACATTGTTTGCATTCTTTTATGTATGAAAATTTTATTAGCGTTTATTAATCACGCCATCAAGTATGCAAGATAATATACAACTATTTGGGTATATTTTTTGACGTGATAACGTCTTTAAAATCGTTTTAGTCGGGTGACATGTTCAGAAACTGTGTCACGAGGCCTCTCGAGGCCGATCGCAGGTATACCCCCCTCTCGTTATAACGAGAGAGAGACGGACCGATCTCCCGTCTCATCTCGAGCGCTGCCAGTCATTCCGTGAAATCCACACGAGCGGTGGCAGGCATAGCGTTCGAGTGAGTGGACCGATCTTCCGTCTCTCTCACTCTAGCGGCATACAAACGAATGGAGATTTTCTCGTGCGGTTAAGTTTTCGTTGAATGTTTAACAGTAAAACAAAATGTGAAGTGCAAGTGAAGTGTTTCAACAATTGCAACAAACAAAACTTATATCACCAATAAGACGTTATCACGTAAACATCTCGATCGTAAACCTACTTTACAAACAACCATTTTTTTTTTATTGCTATGAAAAGTAATTCAAGAAATTTATTTAAAAAAACGTTATTTTTAGGTGTTTAAATAATATTTTAGGAAATTTTAATAAATTTTTTTTTTTACTATTTTCGGAATAAAAAATAGTTGAAAAAGAAAGTTATCAAATATATAATTGAATTTCATCGCACAAATCAAATTAAAACGTAAATTATTTATACATATTTTGATTTGAATCAACCTTTTAGTAAAATAGACCAATTATTTGAAAGTTTGAATCAAATCGAACCAGTAGATTTTAACTTATAAAGAAAATAACTAAGAAATTCAATAATATGTTAGTATTTACAGTTTTTGACACTAAATTTGTCTAAACTTTAATAGAAAATGATTAATTTCACTTGATTTAAAGTTTAATCTATGTCTAAATATAATAGAAATTGTACAAAATTTTAAAACCAGAAAATAAATTGATTTGGTGTAAACAACGAGTAAAAAACATCAAAATGTTAGCATGAGAAAATACACCAAGTAACATGGAAGACCGCTTTTCAAAAGGGAAAGGACATTTTTCACTTTGCACGTTTTATCAAGGCAGATGTTACCATCCGCGCTGGCTTTTAGAGCGTTATAGTCAGCTATTTTAAGTCGCAAAACATTAAATGGGCTATAATTCCGGGAGGAAATTTATTGGAAAATTAACCTATGCATGTTACATGTAATTGGATTATTGTACAATTTTGACGTGATAACGTCTTTAAAATCGTTTTAGTCGGGTGACATGTTCAGAAACTGTGTCACGAGGCCTCTCGAGGCCGATCGCAGGTATACCCCCCTCTCGTTATAACGAGAGAGAGACGGACCGATCTCCCGTCTCATCTCGAGCGCTGCCAGTCATTCCGTGAAATCCACACGAGCGGAGGCAGGCATAGCGTTCGAGTGAGTGGACCGATCTTCCGTCTCTCTCACTCTAGCGGCATACAAACGAATGGAGATTTTCTCGTGCGGTTAAGTTTTCGTTGAATGTTTAACAGTAAAACAAAATGTGAAGTGCAAGTGAAGTGTTACAACAATTGCAACAAACAAAACTTATATCACCAATAAGACGTTATCACGTAAACATCTCGATCGTAAACCTACTTTACAAACAACCATTTTTTTTTTATAAGAAAAAATGCGCAATTCAAATATTTGTACTTAAATAAAGTTTTAGTCACTAAATTACCTGTAACTTTTATAAAAATCATTAATTTTACTTCATTTAAAATTCAATCTATTTCTAAATAACATAGAAATCAATGTGCAAAATTTGAAAACAATAAAATAAATAGTTTCAATGTAATCGCAAAATTTCTAGACATTATTAAGTCTATTCTCTGTTATTTTTAATTTGTCTAATATAATATTGATTCCCACAAATGAAATTATAGCCTAAATTATTTACCATCGACAAAAACACCTCACTCACCATATCGACACTGTTTCACGTCTCTAAAACAAACACCATCACACAAAAAAAGAGCCCGCTCACTCATCTAGCGCGCCAAACGTCTGATTCTGAATCAACAGCACAGCACAAATTCATAAAGCGTGAGTCGCCGCAATCAGTTTACCGCCGTGTATTGAAATGTAAATTCAACTCAATCGGTTTACTTTGTAATCAATCAATTTTACAAGCTAGAGAGGCCAAAGATAGCGTTCATGAATAAATTATCGGCCGAAAATTGAAATCCTGCACTATCTCAATCGCAATGCGCGCTCGGTGCTTTATAATGAAATATGCAAAATCGAAATTGTGCGCGGCGTTGTTTTTACCCATCCGCGACGACGCACGCCCTGCGTGGTTCTAATTGGCCGCCTATTAAATTAATGTATAATTCATTTATTGATC